CTAGAAATTAGGAGACTTTTTTAGTCTCTATAGTATTTAGTATTTGAAGGGATGATGTACAGAGACATTTGGCTCAAAGACAGGTATGTCCTGCACCAGATTTTTAGCTAAACAGCTGTTTCCATCTGCTGTCCCCATGGTTACATCAATAAAATACATGAACACAGTAATGTACAATCCAATAGAAATACCATCACAATGCAACACACTCTCTCTGATACAGACTCACACACTCACACACACACTCTCTGATACAGACTCACACACTCACACACACTCTGATAAAAACTCACATACACACACACACACACTCTGATACAGACTCACACACACTCTCTCTGATACAGACTCACACACTCACACACACTCTCTCTGATCCAGACTCACACACTCACACACACTCTCTCTGATCCAGACTCACACACACACACTCTCTCTGATAAAAACTCACACACACACTCTCTCTGATCCAGACTCACACACACACTCTCTGATACAGACTCTCACACACACTCTCTGATCCAGACTCACACACACTCTCTCTGATCCAGACTCACACACACACACTCTCTGATACAGACTCACACACACACACTCTCTGATACAGACTCACACACACACACTCTCTTATACAGACTCACACACACTCTCTTATACAGACTCACACACACTCTCTGATACAGACTCACACACACTCTCTCTGATACAGACTCACACACACACTCTCTCTGATACAGACTCACACACACACACTCTGATACAGACTCACGCGCGCACACACACACACACACACACACTCTCTCTGATACAGACTCACACACTCACACACACTCTGATAAAAACTCACACACACACACACACTCTGATACAGACTCACACACACTCTCTCTGATACAGACTCACACACACTCTCTCTGATCCAGACTCACACACTCACACACACTCTCTCTGATCCAGACTCACACACTCACACACACTCTCTCTGATCCAGACTCACACACACACACTCTCTCTGATAAAAACTCACACACACACTCTCTCTGATCCAGACTCACACACACACTCTCTGATACAGACTCACACACACACACTCTCTTATACAGACTCACACACACTCTCTGATACAGACTCACACACACTCTCTGATACAGACTCACACACACTCTCTCTGATACAGACTCACACACACACTCTCTGATACAGACTCACACACACTCTCTGATACAGACTCACACACACTCTCTCTTATACAGACTCACACACACTCTCTGATACAGACTCACACACACTCTCTGATACAGACTCACACACACTCTCTGATACAGACTCACACACACTCTCTGATACAGACTCACACACACTCTCTCTGATACAGACTCACACACACACTCTCTGATACAGACTCACACACACACACACTCTTATACAGACTCACACACACTCTCTTATACAGACTCACACACACTCTCTGATACAGACTCACACACACTCTCTCTGATACAGACTCACACACACACTCTCTCTGATACAGACTCACACACACACACTCTCTGATACAGACACACACACACGCTCTCTGATACAGACTCACGCGCGCACACACACACACACACACACACACTCTCTCTGATACAGACTCACACACACACAGATAAAGACTCACACACATACACTCTCTGATCCAGACTCTCACACACACACACACACACACACACACACACACACTCTCTCTCTCTGATCCAGACTCTCACACACACACACACACACACACACACACACAAACAGGTATAAGGCTAAATGTGTGTGTGTGTGTGAGTCTGATCCAGACTCACACACATTTAGCCTTATACCTGTTTGTTAAAACCACACCTCACTCACAGCATCACACATGCACAACACATCTACACAACATGTCACACAACTGTACATTCAGATCAGGTATATTTTAACACATTCAGTGCATTTATCATCACACATAGTTCACATACATCATGTGTTGTCCTGTGTCTCAGAACACACCTCACTTTTTTTCCTGAGCAGCTTTGATTGCTCCAAACCTGCATGATCCTGTCAGACCTCTGAAGCTAAGCAGGACAGGGCCTGGTTAGGACTGTGATGGGAGACCTCTGGGAACAGCAGGTGTCACAGTGGGGCAGCTGCGGCTGTAAAGTGCCAAAATGTCGTTGTATCCTTGGGCAAGACACTTAACCCCACTTTGCCTGAAGCCCCTGTTGAAAAATCAAGGTCGCTCGGACTAGAGCAGCCAGCCTCCTGTGCACTCACCTCCTGCAGAAGGATCCATGAGGGGCTGGTGCTCAGTGATTTGGGTGTGAGCCGATTGCCACCCCCGACCCAGAAATAGATGAAGGGGAAGAAAATGGATGGATTGGATCATTTAATTCAGCTGCACCCTTGTTCTTATGCACAGTACAAAAGATGTACTGGCTGCAACATATACATTTCCTCTCTCTCAGTGTTGGGTTCAGCGACATGAATGAATACGACACTGCCATATTCATTGGAATCTGAATCTGAATCGGGCAAAACAAGTCTCCATTCCGACGCGTTTCCTCCATAAAACTGTACACACGTCTTTGAACAGCGTCTCAAAGCCTCGTTTCTGTCGCGCACAATCGAGCCAATTCAGAACGCTCGTGTCAGCTTCAGCGAAACGGAGCGTCAACAAGAGAAGGCAACACAAAAGCCACTGCAGGGAGACGTGCAAATGAATTGGGCTCGCAAATGGCATCTGCTCAGAAAGTGTTCGTAAATCATGTTTGGGAGCCCAGTGGAAAGCTGTCACAGAACACACCACATCCTCTTGTTTACTGTGCTTCTCCTGGTGCCACCGTCGCTGTGGCCTATTTCCTTTTATGTTTGTTCCCACTATTTTTGACATATCTATATTGTGCTTATTTACACACTGTGGCTGTTGAATACTTGCTGTTTTTCCACATTATTATTCTGGCTGTGTTTTAGAGCCCGATACTGTATTTGAGCGTTTCAGTTCTGCACTCAGAAATTAAAAACAAATCATTGTTAGAGGTTCCATGGGCCTTTTTGCGTACTGTCAACTTCAGCTCTTTATTAAGTAATGTAAAATATTAAATTAAACTTGACTGAATTGAACACTATTACTTTGAAGTAATTAATTTACAATATTTACTGTATTTTTCATATCGTTCAAAGCAAAACTATATGCAGACACACATGGAGAACATGCAAACTCCTCTCAGAAAGGCCCTGTTCCGGCTGGGATACAAAACAACTTAGATTGCTACAGTTTCATGGGAGGTAGCTTCTGTGGAGAGAGTGCTAACCACTCAGCCAGTGCTTCATATAATGCTAGTCCAGTGTGTGGTTTTTGTCACTGATGGCTTAGATAACGGGTGTCCAAACGTAGTTTTCATCCTCTGCATTTGACCCATCCTGATGCCACTAGAGGGCGTTAGTCAGGAGCAGTGGTGGCTAAGTAGATGTTCAGAATGATTCTCGGCTTGGTCAGGGCTACTGGAGCTGGAGGATTTGATCTTTCATCACTCGGAAAGACTCTGTTCCAACGGGGTTCATCAAGTCTTCTTAGTAGTTTAAGTTCTTTGTTTCAATACCAGAGGATTGTGAGATAGTGATGGCCTCAAAAGCGAGGCTTCGGAGCAAGACAGAAGTTAATCATCAAAATTGTTTCCCCCACTTTCTTATAGCCGTGATTGTATGAACTTTATGATTAGTCAATAGCGATGTGTTTCGGGACAAACCTAATTTTAAATGAATCCATGAATTTTATCTCCCATTCCTCAACATTGTTCAACAAATATTTGTTCTCTGAATGTTGATGTAAACAGGAGGTTTCCCTATTTAAAGTTGGGGTACCTTTTTCTTCAAATATCTTTTATTTGCTCCAACTAAAAGTCTTGTAGATTTGAAAATGATGAGAACAAATCAAATCACGCCAGGGTGCCTTTTCTTTTTAGAAAACATGTTGTAGTTTCGGCAGTTCATTTACAAAAAAACAGAAGTTTCCACTTTAAGAAAGTGTAGAAAGGTTGTATTTATCGAGTTACAATCAATGAAGACGGCACAGCGGCTGAGTGGAAAGGACTCTCGATTCTCAGCAAGAAGGTCCTGAGTTTGAATCCCTGTCAGAACGGTGCCTTTCTGAGTGGAGTTTGTATGTTCTCCCTGTGTCTGCGTAGGATTCCTCTGGGTGCCCCAGTTTCACCTATCACAACATTTTTTTAAATAGTTCAGTCCCAATAAAAAAACAATAAAGGGTGAAATTGTCATGATGTGTCATTGTTTGTGACCCTCTGCATTAATGTCTTCTGTGTTAGCAAGGCCCTTTCACAGTGTCATTCAGCCAACTTCAACTGCACCTTTTAATGATACTCGAAATGAACAATATGGAATATATTTATGTGACAAATGCTGTATGTATAGCTGTGTAATCAATATGAACACCAAATATGTATGTGTAAAAATCTGGTTGAGTCAAGTGGCCTGATATACAGTATTTCCACACACAAAACGCGAGCTATGAAAGCACAGGGAAAAGCTCCAACCAAACTTGCTCCTAACCTGTGTCAAGGAGAAGATTTGAGAAGTGGCGCGGAGAGCAGACTGTGGGAGAGAGAGGGAGAGAGAGAGAGGGAGAGAGAGAGAGGGAGAGAGAGAGAGAGAGAGAGAGGGAGAGAGAGAGAGGGAGAGAGAGAGAGAGAGAGAGAGAGAGAGCGGTGCGAGTCCGTCTCTTCCAACAGCTCTCCTCTCCTCACTCTCCGCTTCCTTCGGGCCAAAGCACTGCGCCGCTCACGGGTTTCCAACCAGGGGAGACCGCAACGCGCGTCAAGGGGAGATTCCTCGGAGGGAGATTTGTTTTCTTTCTTTTTTTGCAGGAACATGTATAGCACTTTTGGATACACGTGTCACTCCTTATAGCTGTGCGTCCATCGCGTCAAAGGAAGAGGACTATATTGAAGCGTGGAATCCCTGTTTTTAACAAAGTCTCAGACGCGCAGACTTCTCACACCTGCGCGTCGTGGTTTCTTGTCTGCAACCAGCTGCAGAAAAACGGACAGCGAGCTGGAGAGACGCGTGTACGGACTTGGAGGCGCGATGCTGATCGGTGAGTGTCACAAAACACATTTACAATTAACTCGATTGTAATGCTTTGGCTTGCTGTGCATCCACGTGATGGCTGCGTCCGTATTCCCTCTTGAAAAATTAAGTTATCCAGTTTGGTTGCCAGTGCAAAATGTTGACTTTGGCGCCACGTATGTTGTCCTGTATGTATTTACTGTGTCTTGGAATTGGCTTGGATACGTCCTCGCATGGCACAAACGTCATGGGACGCGCGGGGGGAGACGTGAAATCGTGCTTGTGAACTAATGTGCGTGCGTAATGACTGACGCTCCAGTTGAGTATACGCGCGAGTATGTGTGAGTTTCTGTTATAGACCTGGTTTGAATGGTATTTCTATAGTCGTAACAGTAGAACTCCCAGAGCAGTCAATTTGACGGCTTCTAATTTCGGAAGTGTAAATACTCAGCTAATGCATATTTTGTTGGTTTTCCTTATACGCTGTGACTTTTTCTGTTTCTAAATGTTGTTCATTTCTATCTTATTGTTTTATGATAATCAATCAAATGTATTTATGAAGCTCAATTCATACAGTGAGAAGTACAATCTTTAACCCCAAATGTGAATTTAATTTATAGCCATTTTTGCTTGCTGAGTTTTGCCCTTTTTTCTCAAGGGGCTGGTTCTGGACTGGATCTGGACTGGTTCAGCTTGATTTTCCACCAGAGAAGAGCAAGTGCTAGTTACTATATATATTTAGCCTTTTTTTGTTGTTTGTGAGAATCCTATAGTATTAATCTTAGTATAAGTGTATCTAACAGTTTTAACAGTGTAACAGTGATATATATGTGTGTGCCACGTCCATAACAGCTGTGTACACTATTGTCCTTATCCACCAAAGCGGTCGGTAAAGGACAGAACGGTGCTGCGTGTGATGAGACTGCAGCCGAGGCCAGTGTCTCAGATGATTATTATAACAGAGTAATATTTCTAGCGTTTGCTTAATGGGCTCTGTCTTATCTCTGTCCCAATGCGCAGTGAGTGGATCCACATCTCTACTACTTCTCTCAACTCTTCCAGCTGTTTTATTTGCCCGAAAGTGGTTTTGCCATTCATTTTAGTATTGCTTGTATTTTAATGAATCTCCTCCGATCGCTTCACCCGCATTGCCCATAGAACGAGTCTAGTTGGTGGTGATGCCAGGGCCCGATGGCATTTATGGGTTGCCTCGCTTCTGTCAGTGTGCCCCGGGGCAGCTGTGGCTTCAGTAGATGCTGGTGTATGGAGTGAATGAGTAATGACATGTGAAGCGTCTTCGAGTGACCAGAAAAGCTCAACACAAACCCATGTATTACTATTTCTATTATTATTAGCATCAATTGTTTAATCACATACTGTACACACATATACACATACACGGATGGATATGAGCTGTTTCCTGTTGGTTTGAGCTCAAAACCTCCTCATCTTAAATGCATAGTACTCTGATTTCTTTGCACTTTTAGCCCAACATCTGTTAAATAATCGCTCTAATGGCAACACGAAGCCTTAAGGCGTTTCGCTGTCAGGACATCTGCTTGTCTTCCCGCTTCAAATGCGCTGTGCTTGGCTTATGTGGTTGCAAAGTTATATTTAGGCTGGTCTCTTTTGGACCACTTTAACACACATATCCAAAGATACTATGTTTATAATTGTTTTTTTGAATGGAACTGTGTGTGATATTTGTAGAATGATTCATGCCATCTTTTGTTGTCCTGGAGCAATCTCATCAAGATATCCATCACCTTTATAGTTTGCGATTGGAATTTGCCTAGATTTGATGTCTTAAGAATTTAAGGTGCACCCTTAGCTTTCTTACTTTTATCAGAGTTTATCATGGACAATGGAGGGTCAAAGGACAGTGGTGACGGTCCAGGACACTCCACATTCAACCACATTTATGGACATTTAACAACATTTATGAACATTGGTCATCTGCCTCTTATGGACCAATGCCTCTGCAACAATACACTGAATTGAAAATGAATTTAATTAGTGCGCACTTATAGTAGTATAATTTTAAGCAATGTTATGTAGAGTTTTTCTTTTCTTTTTATGCATGCCTTTTTATTTTACTTTTATAACTTGTTTTTATCAAAAGCCAAAGCAATTTACTCTTAATAAATAGTTCTAATTCTCCCATATCCCTACAGCAACCCCCCACTATGGACTTCTATGCTTACAGGACAGTGCAAATGGCTGAGTGGTTAGTACTCTTGCCTCCCCGGGGCTTCAATTCCACCTCCAGACTTGGCCTTTCTGTGTGGGGTTTGCGTGTTCTCTCCGTGTTGGCATAGGTTTCCTCCGTGTGCTCCGGTTTCCCCTACCACTGAATACATGCACGAAAGGTCTGAATGTAGTGAGTGAGTGAGTGAGAATCTGAGGGCCAGCAGGTGATCGCCGTCTAGCTTCTGAGTGAACGGAAATTAAAACCTCAAATTGTAAAGCGCTTTGTCTGACCTTGGTCTGTGACAACCCACTTACTGTCTACTATACAGTAAAATTAAATGTTTTCTCTTGTTTTCTCTATTTAGACACTGATTTACCAAAAGTGGAAGACCTGCGATAATATTGTTATTCTTTATTCAGTTGAGTTTGAACCCAGCCACGTTTAACCTTGCTTTACTAACATTACGCTTAATTATTACAGTAATTATGCAGCCATTAATGAGAAGTCTCAACACGGAGAGAGCTGATGAATGGCTTGGATTCAGAGCATGCATTTTTAGTGGAGAGGCAAAAGAAAGTATGTGAACCATTTGGTTTAGGAGAATAATCACTCCATTCATACTTGACTCAAAACCATCAAGATCAAGACCAAGATTCAACAATAATTGCTTTTTTTGTTCAGTTAAGCGCGAAATATTACCTTCATAACAAAGTATAGTGTTGTTGGAGTTTCTCTAGAGTCTGTGGATTCAGAATAAAATGGCCCCAGTGTGGGTTGAATCTGAAAATTAGAATTAAAGTTGGTATTTTTGCCACAAACAATATTATATCAATACAATAATCACATTTACAAGTCATTCAACTTGGCTCTGATTTCAGCCACGGTTTCAGACCTTAATAAAGATAAAGATGTTTAAGTTGGTTTGCAGTTTTAAGTCAGTGGAAAGAGGCAACTAAAGAAAACAGTGGGAAAAAAGTTTGAAACCTTGGGGAGCCTCATATTGATAGTATTTGTTTTACTTTTTGTTTCTAAAATAATAATCGAGACAACTGAGATTGTTTACGCAAGAATTGTGTGTATCAACCGGCTAGAAATGGCAAGAATATTATTTTTCCATGGGTAATAGTATAAGTATTACATCCACTGCAAAAAATTATAAAGTAGGTAAAGGAGGTAATAATAGCTTGAATCAAGTGGAGTCTTTTTTTTATCTTAATCTGAGTACATTCTGACAAAACAAGATAAAAACAAGATTTGCCTTTTTTCAAGAATTAAAGGGAGACATTTCTTGTATCTTGCTCAAATGAAGATACTTTTTGCCAATTTTGAGCCATTTTTTGCCAAAGTATTCATCACTTTTTGCAGTGTTGAAGTGAAAAATGTGTTTGCTGTATTGGTCTATAGTTGAATGTCTGTGCCTGCTTGACCTTGGCTGTCTTCAGACCTCCCTCCCTGATTACAGGCCCTGTCTCGTGGGAGTGAAGGTCCGACCATCAGCCACCCCTCCCCCCTCCCTCACTGGAGCTGTTTATCAGTGCGATCAGGCCTGTAATAATGGGGATCAGACGTTACACGGGGTTAATCCAGGCTAAAGTTTGTCTCCTGACTCAATATGGGCTAATTACACGGCTGTTTGAGTTGGAGTCTGTTTAAGAGGAGTGGGGTCTTCTCCTTTATCTCCTGTGGGAATGCCGGGCTCTGAGCCAAATCTGTAATTAGTGGAATTCCCAAATATCGGTGCTTCTAATCTGCACTAACGATAGAGTGATGACCCTTGCAGCAGTGGCCAAAAGCAGAGGACAATTATACATTATATAGCAAGAGCAATTATACAAAATACTTAAAGCTGTAATTGTCAACCTGCGAAAGGAACTTATTTGGTCCGCAAAGTTGATGCTTGTGATTGATTCTTTAAACAAGTAATAAAGAAAGGCAAGGCTGTTTATTTGTATGGCACGGATACACAAAGCTACTCAAAGTGTGTTCGAAAATAATGTGTATTATTACTAGGGCAAGGCACATAACGTCTATCCAGTCTCTGTGTTTTAAAAAATGCAATGATAAAAATCTTAACCCTGACCATTCACACACACCAGACACATACTAGGTAATGTGGGTGAAGTGTCTTGCCTGAGGACACGACAACAGTTTGGTAATTTACAGTCATAGCCTCCCTCCTGGGCCACCTGGTGTTCCCAGAGGTCTCCCATCACAGTATTAACCATGATTATCCCTGCTTAGCTTCATAGCCCTGATGGGTCTGGCTTTCAAGAGTATGGTGGTTATATCAGTCCGATAATACAACCCTGAAATAATCATCGGGTAGGCCAAATTACCTTAAAAAATATATATATTTCTATTTCGCGCATTAGCATTAGCTCGTACTTTCTGTATACAGTATTTGCGTGCCTTGAAAAAAAGAGGGAGAGAGAGGGAGAAATTGGCCATTTTTATGGTGTGTCAAACTTTGAACAAATTGGCATCATTGACCAGCTACTCTCTATAGAACATCGGGTTAAAAAATTATTGTTTATTTTCTATTTTTATTTTCATCCATCCATCCATCCATTTTCTTCCGCTTTATCCGTTGCCGGGTCGCGGGGGCAGCAGTCTAAGCAGAGACGCCCAGACTTCCCTATATCCACACACACTGGATTTTTTCATTTTTTTTTATTTCTTCTCTATCATTTTTTAAAATTATTATTTGTCTTTTTTTTACTTGTCGACTGTAGATGTGTTTGTCTCTAAGGTAATAAGCATCAGTGTGTTAGATAATGACGATCAATGTTAACAGTCAACATGGATCTAAATCAATGTCATAAAAGAGCCACCTCCACACACTCCCATAACCCGGGCCTCACCTCTCAATCGCTCTTATGGTCTTGCTCCTGCGTCCGTGTAATTAAGTGGCCTGTGTTTTGACCTGCAGGTGTAGCCGTAGTCTTGTTTCTGTGGGCAGACGGAGCAGGTCTGTGTGGGCAGCGGGGCGTTCTGGGGCGAGACAGCGAAGTCGGAATCGTGTGAAGCGGTGATAGAGCAGAGCTGGCGGACGGCTGGAGATGAGCGCTTAATGGAAGTTTTCAGCGCGACTCCCGGACTCTGAAGCAGCGCAGACAGGGGTTTTTAAGGCCTGTCTGAGTGGCGTATGAGCAATAGAGCTGCGGCCGACCAATGAAATCCCAGATAAAACCAATTTAATAAGTCAAGCTGCAGTCTGGTCCAAGCTGCGCTAACAACTAACTTCATCATTCAGACTGTACAATGAGAGCTGCTGAGCGAACCTGGCCTTAGCCATCCGTAAACTCAGCTCAATTATTATTTCCCTGCATGTACTGTCTGGGTCGAGTCCCTGTGTCTGCAATTACATCAGTTGAATTCCATCCGACCAAGCAGCGAGCGCGGGAGGCAGGTGTTGTAGGAGATGTCAGTGACGTCAAGAGTTTGCGCCGAACGGCAAAGATAGTAAAGAAATCTGTTCTGGTTTGGCTCCAAATATCAAGAAGTTGAAGTTGAAGCTGGAGCAAGAGGAATGTTTAGCAAATGTAATCGCTGGCAAAGACTGTGGTGTTACTCCCCTCGGGCTCCGTCAGTGGCTAAGGAAATGGCTAAAGCTAGGCTAAATGCTAAAGCTAGCAACTCACTCGGGCTCATTACATACGTCACGGTAAAATCAGATCTAATCATTTCAATCTACAAAAGGAGTCAACCCCTCCCACCTTTTAACAGAGCTCAATGGAGCACCTCCAATTTGTACGATGGTGTGGGACGACCAGGCTACTGCTGAACCTATGTTTTGATATTTCACTAGCCATTTTACCTGCTGCTATTATTGCTGTTGATTATCTGGTCAAGTTCGCTGCTTATTTTTTTTACTATCTATTTTCTTAAATAATAGATCTTGTTTGATGTGTGCATAACCTGTGCTCTTGCTTATTTTTATTAAATTAGCTTATTATTGCAACTCAGTTTTTCAACCTGCTGATCAAAAACCTTTCAAATCAAGCAGATTTCAGTTTATGTTGCATGTTAAATGGCCTTGTAGTGAACCAGCTGGTTTGTTGAAATAAATAAATGAACAAAAAAAGGAGCCGACGTGTTAGGTCCAATTTGTGGAGCTTTTAACCATGTTACAACATTTTGTCCTCGTTAAATACTCACCTGGACTTGTTTTTTTGATGCCTCCACACTGAAATGTGTAAAGTATCTTTAGTCCTGTGAGAGTATGATGATATTGTAGCACTATGACATCACATCCAGAGCAGTTTTCTTCCTTTTCAAACAAAAATATTGCCCATAAATAATTATTTTGCCATGTCTCATCTGAAAGGACGTTCTTTACATTCGCACAGTTGGTGTTTACAAAATAATGCATTATATTTCTTCTTTAAGCTCTGCTCCGGTCCATTTACATTCTTGGTCTGATGAATTTTGGCCTCCTTTCCAAAATGAGCCAAAATGTCTTCAGTAAGATTGTTTTATTTTTTACAATATTGTGAAAGATTTAATTGTTAGAGTGACAATAGACCATGACCAAGTCTCTGCACATTGATCCAAATTAAAACAATTGACGTGTCCCAGTTTTTGTTATTTCGCCAACCTGATTTTGGAAGTACTGCCTTATATTCTGCCGGAATAGTGAACAGCATGCTGGGAAATGATCAAAAATGTGCTTGCAGGAGTCTTTAAGATTACATCCTGACCCACAAAAGCTGAGAAAGCCGCATGAACAAGCCCTGAATGGATGGGGTGTATAATAGTCCACTAAACGACCTGCTCTTTTCACAATTCTATTATTAATAGTGTGACCCAGTTTGATGGTAACTTTGAAAATCTGGTCACTCCACTAAAATGACTATAATGTAAAACCTCTAAGGCCATAATGTAGGAAAAAACCATCACCTCCGTAAAGATTTGTAAAGATTGGGTCACAAAACGCTTCTTTTGTTGGATGTGGGTTTGACTTAGTTTTAAAGGGGACATAACAGAGAAAACGTTCCACAGATTTTGACCATGTTTTAGCGTGTTTCCTGTTCACAAAGTTGTTTTCAGAGCAATTCATGGATGTTTGAGTAATTATAGTAGCCTTCACTCTGACGCCATGTCTCGCCACTGGCTCCTCTGACCACCACCACAACACGCCCACTCTTTTCACTTACAATATGTGTGGACCATTCTTTCATTTTTTTCTATTTTATTTTTTTAACTTTTAATTTTACTTCAAGGTCTTACAATTCATGACAGATGGTGTTGACAATTCAAAGCTAAAATAATGCCCCAACTACAACCAAAAAACCAACAAAAATCATACTGGCATCAAAAAGGCATTGAAAAACAAGAATACCCGACTATGTGTGTGGAGCATTCGTTCATCCATTTTCTTCCGCTTTCTCTGTTTCCGGATCGCGGGGGCAGCAGTCTAACCAGAGACACCCAGACTTCCCTCTCCACCCACTCCTCCTCCGCTCATCTGGGGGAATCCTGAGGCGTTCCCAGGCCAGCTGAGAGACACAGCCCCTCCAACGTGTCCTGGGTCCTCCCTTGGTCTCTGCTCGAGCCACCTTAACGGGCTCTTTGCGAGGTGGAGAAGCAGCGGCTCTACTCCGAGCTCCTGCCGTGTGGCTGAGCTCCGGACTGCTTTATTCCATTACTTTGTTATTCATGAATTCTATTTCAAATGAAGTAAATACTGTAGTGATCATTGAGAGTCAAATTCTCGCTATCTTGCAGAGTTAAAGAGCGACTAAACACCTGTGCCCAGCCTTACTCCGCCCACATAAAGATTTGAAAATTTTCTCTAAAAAGGGCGTTGCCTGGAGGACTAAGGGACAAGAAGGGGGGCTTAGAGTTGGGCGTGGTCTGGGCTGTGATTGACAGCTCACTTGTCACACAAAAAAAAACAGACAGTTGTCATTGCTGCTTAAAGCAATAGTTTACAGACCAGAAAGTCTCATTCCACCCTTGTTTACACACTAAGATAATTGTAAAGCTACACACCTGAACCTAATCACACTCAATAATCTCAGAATGACTCGTGTAATTTAATTTTAATCCACTAGATGGCGCCAGAATACTCCAAACTGCAGCTGGGGCGTGTGTGAGAGTTGAATGGGTTCACATCACTGGCTCTGACAGACTGACGTCACACAAAACAACTGATGTCATAGAGAACTTCAGAGTCAATGGAGAGGCCAGAACCAAATTCAAATGTAGTACCACCAAAAAGGTTGAGAGGGCACCACACAGACGTTTTTTGGCTCAAAAGTGATATTTTATCTAATTTGAACTAAAATGTCAAAAAAAATGACCAGGATATGTAGACAGCACTACAATAAACATACTTATGCAGTTTATGAGTTAAAAAAAGTTGATTTGGTGTTTAGTCGCTCTTTAAGCACTATCTCTCTTGTCTGCATTCTGTTTTCTCATCCAATGGATTTATGACTCTGAAAGTTGTTATGTTGTGATTACGTGAACAATGAATTCACCCAAACAGACTTTTTTATCATTTCACAGAGACTGATGGATGTGTTTCTGATGCATGAAATGGTTTATTGGCCTGGATTTGACTGAGCACACCTTTTGATGGATGGGTCTTGGTTCATGTGTCTACAGAGCTGGCTGTGACTGTGATCCCCCCTCCTCCTTCTTTTCTCTGTCAGTCTGAAGAGATGGATCCAACCTCTGCTCGATTAGCTCCACAAACATCTCTTCCAAAATGACAAATGTGTCGCCCAGGTGACTCTCAAAAAAAAAAAAAGTCATTACCTCAGCCCGCATTAGTCAACGTCATGTAGAAAGTCTTAAGGGGGAAAAGGGGAGCGAGCCTTTTCCAACTCTGCGGTCTCAGAGGGAAAGTTGTTGGTAAAAAATAACAAGTCTGACGTATTTTTGAGGAAAATAACGGCTGTATTGGTATCCTGAAGCCCCGCCCCCAAATGAGCATAATAGTCGTAGCATTAATTCTTTGCAATCTCTCTGGTACGATAATTTTGTTTAAACTATGCAATGCTAGATGTTGGGGGAAGTAATACATTTCAACACCTTCCCCTAGTGGTAGGTGTAGTAAATTGCATGCTGATATATTTATTTTTCTATGATGCTCCGTTACCGCTAGTAATACTCACAGGCTAAAGCCAAATTCGGGGAATAAAAAGCACTTAATCAGTTGTTAGGGCTGTCATCTGGATTTACAAAGACGTTGACAAAATACAAATTAAACCATGGATTTTGGACCTGAAAATGGTGAGTGTGAAGAGGAAGAATTTACTTTTCAATGCATTAAGACAAAGAGATCCTTTATTTGTCGCAACAGTGGGGAAATGTTGTATGTGGATTTGCGTCAGATACAGAACAGTAGGAATGAGGAGCACACAGCACAAGATACATAAGATAAGATAAGATACACTTTATTGATCTCACAATGGAGAAATTTACAAATGAATTATAACTATATACTAAAATAAAATAAAAGGTGAAGTGAGTCAAAGAGGGGGCGACAGTGGCTCGGTTGGTAAAGCATTGGCCTTTGAGCCTGAAGGTTGTGGGTTTGAGGACCACAAGACCTTCTCCACCGACTCCCACTGATGTCCGCTGTTGTTATGTCTCTCACAGACAGAGCAGCCATCCTCCTTGGAGCTCACCACCTGCAGCAGTATCAGTGAGGGACTGGGTTTTCATCTCTGCCACCACTGCCACTGCCACCCCCCGACCCAGACATGGACTAAGGGGAAGAAAATGGATGGATGAGTCAAAGAGAGTTGGAGCAAAACTTAAAATCCATGAGCACTTCTCTCTTCAGGCTTCATAGAGCTAGTAGGTTAGCATTGTCCACTGCTAAAATTACAGCCTATGATGGTTATATCCCACCAAAAGATGTACAAAGTAAAAGCTGAATTGCAGACGTAGACACTGTTCGCCCATTGACACCCATCTTGAGAACATACTTTATTAGAAATTGAAAATATCCGATCCTCTTGAGTGAAAAAAAAGCACTTTAACTGAATGATTATATTTCTTGTGTGGAGATTGGTGCACTATCAATGGAAAGGAGTCTTTTATGCGGCTCTCTTTTGGGTCGAACAAGAGAAGCACTTACTCACTCTTATCTGAAACAATTTTGGCTTCTCTCTTTGTACAGATTTATCCATTTATATTTGAAGATATTGTTGATATGAAAGATCTCTGTATTATACCTTTATCATATGCATTTGTTTAATCACAAAGCTGAAGATTCCACGCTCCGACTTAAAGAAGAAATAGTATGCATTATATTTGACCATTGAAATAGACAATGAGACAAATCATTTTTATTTTTAAAATTTTTAAGACGTTTTGGAATGTGAAATATTATCTCCAGTAGAATATATAAGGTCAAACAAGTATGAAGGGTAAAAAATGCTTTCCATCTGTAAATCCCTATGCTGCCACTAGAGGGAGGAGCAGACTTTGTTTTTTTTTTTTGTTTTTTTTTTTTCAATGTAACAATTACCGGCTGCAAACACATGCGATTGCAAATAATGTCATTTCACTTGAGAAATTGGCAAAACTAATTTAGGAGGAATTTAGAACTTTTGTACTTTTGCAGAAAAGTGAGTGTGATGTCATAGTGGCACAATGACATAATACTGTTACAGGACTGAGAACGAAGGGAGTTATACGTTTGTGCCAGGCGTTTCTGATGAGCGTGGATGGATCTAAACACAACTCTAGGTCTAGTTATGATGAATGAAAATTGTCATATATGTCTCCTTTGATAGACTGTTGTTGTAGCGTCAATAGTCAGAGGATTTGGGCGACATTTCTCAAACATTTTACAAGAAACAACAAAAATCCTGAACTTTTCATATTCAAAATAGACATTTACACAAACACGTCGATGAAGCCGAAAGAACCAAACATATTAAATAATCCTTCCAAACTGACAGAGGAATAAAAATGTCTGTTTATTCAGAGTCTTTTGAGTGTTGGGAGGTGACCTTTGCAGATGTGTCCTCCCAGATTGCTCCTGTTCAAAAATGGCATTTGACATTTTCCTTTCGCCGCCGCAAAAGTCCACGAGTTTGAAACAAGCCGAGAGACAGAGGCGCTATTTTTAACACACACACACGTTCAGAATGTTTTAAAATATTGGTGAAGGGAGTGTTTCGGGTTGCAACAGCGAGAATGGGTTTGCATCAGTTGACCTTCATTGGTCGGCCGAGGAACTAGGACCGAGTTGTTGTTTTGTTATTGTATCGGATTAAGTTTAAAATATGCTTTTGTCTGTGATATTTTTGTGATCATCTATGACACTCTTGGCACATTATTACATATTGTTATTTTTTTATTTTTTTTATTGGTTTAATGAGAATTTTCCAAAAAACAAAGGCATGGAGGGCATCAAAAGTATATACATTTTTGCATTGACTTAAAAAAATATAATACAATCAATACAACTAAAGCAGGTGTCTCCAACCTTTTTCACCCTGAGAGCTACTTTCCTGGGTCCACAAAGGCAGAGAGCTACTACTTTAAGCGGCCGTGGGAAAAAAAGTGGCTCTATATTGGTGTGAACGAGTCTGATATTGGGAACAGTGATTATTTATTGTCACATATTTGTTACTAGTGCTTCAAAGTAACTGCATTTACAATAACGAATAATGAGAATGAATAACACACTCTGAAATATTAAGTATATCAGACAAAAAGTAAGACAATAAAACCATCATATACCACACCAACACGCACACACAGAAGGTGAGGGGTCCAAATGACAGTACTTGTAGTTGTTTATGTGATTACTAAAGAACTCCAGTAAAGTATCCCATAAAAATCTTATCATTGAGTTAGAACATAGATGAATTTCTCTCAAAACAACAGTGAGTGTGTAAAACATGGTCATGGTATAAGTTATATTAGTTACCAAAAGTTACTGTTAGTTACCGTTTTGACCAATCAGGTGGCTGTGGGGGTGAGCGTGGGCGGGTCTAACCACCTCTTCACAATTTAAAAAGGCATTATAGTAAACATTTGTCTGGTTGTCATGATTTGCCACATACTGTAGCTGATCACCTCTGAGGTCATTTTCCGTGCCGGCGTAGGAAAATGGCACGGAGTTTGCACGGGGAGAACATGCAAACTCCACTCAGAAAGAACCTGTTCCGACCGGGATTCAAACCTAGGACCTTGTTGCTAAGAGGTATCCACTCAGCCGCCCTTTTTTTTTTTTTTTTTCATGTGCTCAAATGAATATAAAAACACGTGATTCAAGCATGTATCACCTTATTTGTGTTATTTTTTGCAGTGCATGCGTTTTCTCGTATGAATATTGTACAGTTCTGTCCTTTCTCCATCTCAATTGACATGTTATTCCATTTTCCCTGTACATTTCGCCTTCTCAAACCTCCCTATATCTGTATGTACCAAAACGTGGCTGTCGTACGGCGCTGGGGACCCCCCGTGGAGACCCCATCTCTCCGTGTGACTGACAGTTCAAGTCATTTCAGAGACGAGACGGCATGTTTGATTGCACCCCTGCTGCAGTGATGGCTTCTGGCAAATGTAGGCATATGTGGGCCCAGCGGGGGGATCCTGACAACATGAGAAATTGTCCCGCGTTCCACGGCCTGCGGAAGTTTGGCCTTTTAGACCCCCCCCGGAGCTGAAGGTGTGTCGCCGGGGGAAACGCCAGGAGCGAGCGTGACCCGGGAGAAGCCGTGCGTTTGACCCGGATCGTAAATCATAAGTGTTCAGTGGAAGTGAATCATGACAGTCTTTACACGGTGATAATTGAGTTCAAGATCAAGATTGAGAGATATTGAGGAAATTTCAGTGTTGCGTCACAAGTTACACAACAGTAGGAATGAGGAGCACACAACACAAGATAAATGAATAATAACTCTATAATAAAATAAAAAATAAAATCTATAATTCTAGCATAAAAAAGCAGAATAAAACCACTATCTCAAGACAATGCGATTTATCAAAATGTATTCTAAATGATTTGTTTGTTTGCTATTATAATCCAGATGTACTTTATCTATGCTGCCCTGTGGCTCTAGGTTTCCCTCTCTCTCTCTGTTTAAAATATTTTTGTTCATTGTTTGTTTAAAAAAAATATGTTGTAGCTGAAGTTTAGCATTCACCAAAAATTTATAATATTTTTTGCCAAATTAAATTCGATTCAATTCAATGTATTTTTGTGTAGTCTTAAATTAAATCACAACAGCAGAGGACTTTACAAAGTTGTCGATTCACCTAAAACAGATCAGAGAATAAAACAGTTTGAACACAGAAAATGTAATAATAAGGAAGTATACAAAAGTGACGTTTATTTATATGGCGCATTTCACAGAATGAGTCAAAAAAGCACTTTACAATTGTTGTGGGCATTTGTCGCTCACTCCACACAGAGACGGGAGCGGGGTCAGTGCAGGAGATAGTTTTAGTGGTAGGGGAAACCGGAGCACCGGAGGAAACCTACTCAGACACATTGAGAAAAAGGGCACAGAAAGGCCTAGAGGTGGAATCGAACCCAGGATCTTCTTGCTGTGAGGCTAACCACTGCGCCACCCTGCCGTCCAATAACTAACACATAGGTCCATTGGTCCATAGGGATGACCCATAAATGTTTATAATAAATCCATAAAAGTCCTCAAATTGAATTCAACCCGGTAAAAATGGGTCAGGACCTCCACAATATGATGAAATACAAAGTCTGCTCCCCGGAGAAATTATTTCCCACCGCTGCTCTAGAGGCTCGTAAATGACTGTTTAAAGAAGATAATACATATACAGTC